TAAGGTGAAGAACCCATTACTTCCATCCAATTTTAGGTCAATTAGTCTCTGCCAGACTAATTACAAAATTGCAGCCACTATGCTAGTAAACAGGTTGAAGAGACTTATCCCCAAGATGATTATTGAAGAACAAGTTGCCTTCATCCCAAGTAGATCTATTTCAGAACATTGCCTTCTTGCACAGGAGATTTTTCACAAATTCAAGATATCAAAGCATAGGAAAGGGTTAATGGTCTTGAAGTTGGACATGGAGCAAGCTTATGATAGCATGGGATGGCCAACTCTTAGTCAAATTCTGAGGTGGTATGGCTTCCCTTCTTTGTATTCTAACCTTGTTTTGGAATGTATTGTAGATGTGAGATTCTCCATTATTATCAATGGAAAGAACTCCAAGTGGATAAATGCATGTAGTGGATTTAGGCAAGGATGTCCACTCTCCCCTTACTTGTATATCATGTGCTCTCAATTATTGTCCAACTCTTTAAGGCAAAAGGAGGATGATATAGGCATTCAAATCTCCCCTAAGGGGCCGAGAATTTCTCACCTCATGTATGCTGATGATGTACTTATATTCTCCCAAGCCTCAAAGGTGTTAGCTAAGAATTTGAAGAAAACTGTTGAGGAGTTTTGTAAATGGACTAAGCAAAGAGTTAACAACAATAAATCTCAAATTATTTTTGGCAAGAATGTCAGCTACCCAGTGAAGAAAAAGCTTGCTAAAGTTTTTGGTTTCAAAATGGTTAAGGAGCTGAACTACCTTGGGATTAAAATTTCTCTTAGAAGATTACAGGTGGCTGATTTTCAAGATCTCCTAGTCAATGCTATGGATAGACTTAATGCATGGGGTAAGAAGTCTATTTCTTTGGGTGGTAAGATAACTCTCATCAAAAGCTTATTTTTAACTATGCCAAACTTCTTAGTGACACACTCTTTGGTCCCAAAAAGTGTGTTATATGCATTGTAAAAATGTTGTAGAAGCTTCCTCTGGAATAAAACTGATGCCAGCCATAGCATTCATTATGTGGCTTGGGAGGAGTTATGTAAATCGAGAAGATTTGGTGGGCTTGGTTTGCAATCACCTGTTATGAAGGCTGGTTCTTTGAGAGCAAAGTTGGCTTGGAACTTCATTCAAAGGCCGGACACCTTGCTACACAGATCCATTAAGGCTAAATATGGGAAGAATGTTATGAGTAGCACACACAAGAAAACTACTTCTAAGGCATGGCAAATCTTAGTAGATGGAGGAAGCATCTAAGAGGTATTACCAGATGGAGAATTGGCAATGGTAGGGAGGTTAATGTCCTGAAAGATATTTGGGTACTAGATAGATGCATAAACCGCTGGCCCACTCTAGTTCATTGTGATTCTTTGGAAGGAATGTGTGTCCAGCAGCTATTGCTGGAGGATGGTCAGTGGAATTATTCACTTCTTCAGAATGTTTTTCATCCATATTTCATTGATTTGATTAACCAAATTCAGATTGATCCAAGGGAAGATGATCGGCTGGAACTGCAGAAATTATGCTCGGGTATGACTGTTTCTGCATTATCTTTTGATCAAGTTTTGATATGCAAATTTAATTCCAGAGAAGATGAATATTGTAGTTGGCTTTACAAACTCAAACTTAGCAAGAAAGCGGAAATGTTTTGGTGGAGGCTCGAAAATTCTGCTATACCCACCAATCTTTTTCTTAGAAAGTGCAGCATTTCGGTGACAGATACTTGTGCTAGAGGATGTTTAGCGACAGAAAGCTATGAACATATTATGTTCCATTGTAAGTATCTAATTGAAATTGTTATGAAAGTGGTGGAATGGGGCATTCACATTCCAATCTTCTATTCTTTGGAACAATGCCTATGGGAATTAAGGAGATTAACGGCAAATCATACTAGCATTGTCAAAATCTATTGTACCATTGTCTACTACTCTTGGAGAAATAGGAATGAAGTTAAGCATGGCAAACTAGCCCTACCTTGCTATTTGGTGGCTGCTAATCCCTTTCAATTTCTCTCAACAATTCTTCTCCATATCTTTCCAACTGGGGTACTAATCTCCCTAGGGAGTCTCATGATACTTGGTGCCCCCCACCTAGGGATTGGCTGAAAATTAATGTTGATGCGTCCTTACTCTCTTCTGGGTTGGCTGGTATTGCTGGTATATTCAGGGACTACAGAGGTAGATTCATCCTTGCTTTTGGGAAGAACTTGGTCCATTGGGACATTACTTAGTTGGAGCTACAGGCGGCTTTCACGGTAAGTGATTATGTTAGAAGCTGGATGTTTGAGTTCAAAGGTGTTATTGTGGAAAGTGATAACATCAATGTTATTACTTACCTTCAGAATTCTTTAAAGTCAAATAAGTGCCTTGTGGATATATATATATATATATATATTTCAACTGTCACTGATACCAACCAACATCAAACAGCTACAGGAGGAAAAAAACAAGCCTAACACAAACCATTTTATTTAATTAGAGCATAGCATTACAAAGCTAACTTAAACATTTTACTACTTTACAATAGAAATTTACGTGTATCTTGATGCTACAAGGCAAAGAGCAGTCCTCTTGTGCACTGTAATGCCTGGAACATCATCCATGTCCATCTCTTCTTTACTCATTCCTTCAGGCAATTTCCAATCGAAGTAATATAGCAAATTAGCAAGAGCATGTTCCACTATTGCCATCCCTAAGTTCATACCTGGGCAACTTCTTCGGCCTGATCCAAATGGTATGAGCTCAAAATTATGACCTATGATATCGATTGATCTATCATTAAATCTCTCTGGTAAGAACTCCTCGGGATTATCCCATGTTTTGGGATCTCTTGCAATGCCCCAAGCATTGATATAAACTTGAGTGTCTGGTTCTATATCATATCCACTTATCTTGCAATGCCTAATTGCCTCTCGAGGAAGCAGCAATGGAACTGGCAAGTGCAGCCTTAAAGTTTCTTTCACCACTGAGTTCAGGTATTGAAGTTGATGGAGATTGCACTTTGAGAAATTATCGGAGCTTCTTATTTCCTCTTGTGCTTTTTGCATGATCCTTGAATTCCTGACTAGCTCCGCCATTGCCCAAATTATAATTGCAGAAGATGTTCCAATTCCAGCAGCCAAAATGTCCTAAGAGAACAAAATAAAAATTAAGCATGAATCGAATGAAGAAAGCAAACTATTAATTAGAGAGTACCATTCGATCAGCTTGATGTTTGTGTTTGTGATACAAAAAATCAAGCATGAAGAACTAGAGAGAGTACCATTAGAATAGCCTTGATGCCTGTGCTGGTGATATAAGGTGAATTCTTTTGAAGATGGAGCAGCACATCAACTATGTTTTCCTGCCCTGTGTTTGTTCTATTTTGATCAATGTGGTCCTCAATCAGTTCATCATAGAAAGATTCAAACTTGCTAAAGGTCCTCTCGAGTCGTTGTTGTTGTCCTGTAAGCTTATCAATCCAACTCAATGATGGGAAATAATCTGCAATAAAGAAGCTACCCAACAAGATCTCAATTTCTTTAAGAAGTGCAAGTAAGTTGTCCTCCTGATCTCCTTGATCATACTTCTTGCTTAGTGCAACTCGGCAAATTATGCTGGCTGTGAGACTCGACACAAATTTTGTCAAATTTATCGGCAATGACAAGGAACTCGAGATCGAATCAATAAGAAGACAGACCTCTGCTTCTCTTATTGATTGGAAGGAACTAACCCTCTTTGTGCTAAAGAGCTGTAGGATGCATATCTTTCTTACCTCCCTCCAGTAATCACCATAGGGAGCAAAGCTGATGTCCTTGCAACCATAAGAGAATTTGTTGCTACAGGTGAGCATTGGTCGAGAGCAGAAGCAAAAATCATTGATTTTAAGGATCTCTCTTGCTATGTCTGATGAGGAAACCACAAGGATCGACACATGACCAATTTGAAGATGCATCAAGGGACCATGTTTTTGTGACAAAAGCCATAAGTTGCGATGAGTTAGATCGCCAACTTGGTGTAGATTTCCAATCAAGGGGAGCTTCCTTGGTCCAGGAGGGGCAATTCCTCTCTGTTTCGACTGTCTTCTCTTGATTCTTGGGAAAATAAAAAGATAGAGAGAGGAGGAAAGTGCTGTAATGAGTAGCGAAATTAAGAGGATAGCAAAATCCATAGAAGAATTGCAGTTCAGTAGCAGGATGGTTGGAGAAGATTTGTTTCTCATCAATGATTTTGGAGATGGTTATCTGTTCTGCAAAAGAAGAGTTAATGTTAAGTCGTAGTCAAGTCAAGTCAAATTTTTTATTTATTTATTTTTTAATTTAAAGAAAAGTTATACATAATAATTTTGAACTTATTCAAATAAAATCTATTAATTTTCCCCAAAAAAAAAAAAAATCTATTATATTTATGAAATAATTTTAACCCTAATTCTTATCATATCCATGCAAGAATATTAAAATATACATTTATAATTATGTGTTAATATATATATATATATATAATGAGATTGATATCCTTAACTTGATCAAGTTATAGATTAACATATATATATATATATATATATATATATATATATATATATTAAATTAGACAAATTTATAATTTATGGAGACATTTTTGAGTTAAATCATATATATTTTGAGCCAAATTAATAATTATAAGCCCTGCTCGAGGAACAAGGCAACATTCCATCTTTTCACCTCTAAGGAGTCGGTCAGCTGACCGCCATCGTTTGCGTGGCCGAATCAGTTGCAGCCGTGTAGAAAACGCATACACAGTTAGCACCGCCAGCTGAATGTAATAAAACCCTTAAAATAAATCAAGAAAATGAAAGAACTTTAAGAAATTGTATTAAATGTTAAGAGAGTTGCTATTTGCATGTTTTACATTCTTGCAACTTGTATAGTTTTGATGATTCCAAATATTATTGTTTTATGTGTAGTTATCTCCTAATACTTTTTGGAAGATTTGGTTTTTCTCTTGTGTGTACAAACATTTCAGGAAAATCGAACTCCAAACTACTGAAAAATTCAAATCAAATTCAGCATGAGATATCTTATATTTTTAAGCTTGTAATTTTTGTATGAATTAACTTTGAGAGTAAGTCATTGTAATTGAGTGAATGAACACACAAACACTTGAGGAGATCTTAAAAATTTTGTACTGATTGTACAGGACGAATACAATTTGTACGGGATGATCAGGTCAGTTATCTCCTTGTAAGAGCAATGGAACGAACAGTTTTTGGAGAAAATTTTTTGTAAGTCCTGATCGTCCAGGACGAAATTATTTTCGTCCCAGGACGAGCTATGCTCTGTAAATTTTTCATCCAGATGAAATTATAATCGTGCCAGGACGAGCTAGGCTCTATAAAATTTTCGTCCAGGCGAAATTATAATCGTCCCCAGACGAGTTGGGCTCTGTAAAATTTTCGTCTAGATGACATTTATAATCGTGTCTGGACGAGTTACTCTCTGTAAAAATTTTGTCCAGACGAAATCCTGTTAGTCCCAGGATAATGGAAATCGACTTAAGTAAGTTGGTTACATCCTATAGTTATTTGGGAACCGACCTATGAAATAACTGTTCGTCAGGACAAACCTAGTTCGTACGGGGCAATGATCATGTACGAACATAGTTCATATCAATATTCATTAGGCTCGTTTTCGACATTTTAAGTAAAATCGTCCAGGACGATCCACGATCGTACGAGACGATCCATTTCGTGTTGACTTGAAAATTTGCAGCTTTTAGATGATTTTTCTTGTCTCTTCTATATATAGTCCAATTTAGACTGCCACCAAATCTTTTTTTTGTTGATCTTCGTGCTTATTGAAAGAAGAGTCAAGGAGAGAGTGTGAGAGGGCATTCAAAAAAGAATTCTTACTACTGGAGCATGAAGGCTTCACTTTGTTTTTAAAGGTATGATTCTCTACTTGTGACTTTGGATTACTTCACTCTTTTCTTTCCTCCTTCTAGAATTCTTGTGAGAAGATCTATCAAATAGATCCGGTTCTCTGCCGACACTTGGAGAGTGTGAACAGCCGAGGGTTCTCTGCCCACACTAGGAGAGTCTGAAAGGATGAAGGGTTCTCTGCCTACACCGGGAATATGTGAAAGGAAGAAAGGTTATCCGCCTACACCGGGAGAGTGTGAAAGGATGAACGATTCTCTGCCAGCACTGGGGATAGTGTAAAAGGATGACGGTTCTCTGCCGCATTGGGTAGTGGTGAAAAGAGTTTTGTAAAGGCTTCTCCGTCTTGTTCTGGGTGCAAAAGGAGAGTCACTAGTGGTATTACTGCAATACTCGGAGGGTGCCTTCGGGGAGTGGATGTAGGTCTGGTTTTGACCGAACCACTATAAATCTGGTGTCATTATTTTTTCGCTATTTTTTTTTTTATTTTTGTGATTTACTGTTTTAAAACTATGGTTGAAAAACTATTTCTACAAAATTCATTAAAATTTAATTTTGGTTTAAAATATTAAAAAGAGAGATTAATTTTTAAAATATCAATTCACTCCCTCCCCTCTTGGTTAGCCGTGGGATATAAGCTTAGGCTTAACAACCTAATTCATAGTGAACGAGTTTCAACAAGTGGTATCAGAGCATTGTTTCAAAATCATAAGTTTAGACTACTTTTTTATTAACGTAGATGACTACATTTGAAAACCGAAATACACCTGAGGGTTACTCTATAACTAGACCTCCACTGTTTGACAGTATACCTTTTAATTTTTGGAAAACTCGCATGTCTACTTTTTTACAGTCACTTGATTATCGTGTGTGGATCTTAGTCCAGGAAGGATATACAAAACCAACTAGATTAGTTAACAGAGTTAGAGTTGAAACAGTACTTTTTACAGACTGAACAGTAGAAGAACGCAACTTAGCACAACTAAATGCCAAATGCTTGAATATATTCTTTTGTTCTTTAAAATCAGAAGACTACATGCGGGTTTTCACTTGCAAAAGTGGAAAGGATATATGGGATAGACTTTGTATAACATATGAGGGGACTAATGAGGTTAAGCAATCTAGACTTAATATCTTGTTACATGATTATGAATTATTTTGCATGAAACCTAATGAATCCATTTCTAATATGTACACAAGATTCACACAAATAGTCACATCTTTGCATGCACTAGGTAGCAAACTAATGAATGTTGAAATGGTTAATAAGATTCTTCGTTATTTTCCTACTGCATATGATGCTAAAATAACTGTAATTATAGAGTCTAAAGATTTAAACATTTACTCTATTGACAATTTTCTTGATTCACTAATTACTTACGAGTAAGGAGTTAGCCAAAGAAAGATTGATGCAGGTGAACCACGAAGGGAGAAGAACATAGCACTAAAAATGGAAGAGTCTAAGAGTGAACACTCACAACCTGAGGATGAAGACGACATCGCATTGATGACTAGATAGTTCATAATCTTTCTGAAGAGAAAGCAGAAGAAACACTAGCAATGGAATAGAGGTAAATTTTATAGAAATGGTAAGGTTTCAAATGATGTGATTTGTTATAAGTGCGAGAAACCTAGTCATATCAAGACTTATTGCCCAAAACTCAAAGCCACTCCTAGCAAGGAGAAGGTAGAGGAGAAACCAATTGTAAAGAAGGGCAAGAAGAAGTTTCAAAGAGCTTTCTGGGCGGACTCAGCTTTAGATTCATCAGAGATTGAAAAGGAAGAAGAAGTCACTAATCTTTGCTTAATGCTCGATAGTCTTGATCAGTTAGATCAAGAAGAGGTATGTGACTTAACTTATGATGAATTATTTAAAGTTTTTGAACACATGCATGATGCATATGAGAAAATGAAGAAAATACATGCTAGTCTAAGTTTGAAATTTGAAGAACTTCAAAAGGAACATGAAATCCTTATGAAAGATCACGCCTTAATTGACAACAACCACATGAATTTACTTGACGAGTTTGATGACTTGAATAAAAATCATGAGAATTTAAAATCATCCTATGCAGAACTCGAGAAAAGTTTTAAGAACTTTAAGGATGAATCAGAGAGCAAATTATATAAATTCAATTATTTAAATTAAATTTTAGAAAATATGAATTCATTTTATAAATTAATGATAAAAGCTTCGAGGATAATAGGATATCCCCTAAATTTGAAGATTTTATTAATCCTATTATGTATCCTAAATTTATGCAATCCCTGAAAAGATAGATGAATGTTAGAAGACTTAGAAAACTATTTCCAAAAGTAAAATGTAATAATTATGGATTGTTTGGACATATAGCTCACACCTGTACTTTGAAGATGAAAACTTATTTGGTGTGGAGATCTAAGATGCATAAACCTAGATATATCATACATACATCTGATTATAAATTGCCAAAAGGAGAACCCAAACTTGTTTGGCTTCCGAGGTCTAATGTTTGATAATTTTGCAGGGTCGCTCTCACACAAGACCTCCTTAGAGCATATGGTACCTGGACAGCGGATGTTCGAAGCATATGACTGGAGTTACTACTCAATTCATAACGCTGGAAGCCAGGAGTGGAGGCAAGGTTACACTTGGAGATAATACCACAAAGAAAATGGTTGGATCAGGTATGATTGGAAATCTTAAAAACTTTTTTATAGATAATGTATTATTGGTTGAAGGCTTAAAGCATAATTTGTTAAGTTTAAGTCAGCTTTGTGATAAAGGTTATTGTGTAAAATTTTTCCCTACTAGCTGCGTATTAAGCCTAAATGGAAAAGATATTTTGAATAAAAAAATGGTAAATAATGTTTATATGCTAGATTTGAATTGCATTCAAGCTCCTACTGCTTTTTGTTTGAAAATTGTATCTGATAAGTCATGGCTTTGGCATAGGAGACTTTGTCATTCTAGCATGAAAAATCTTAAGAGGATTACCCAAAAGAACTTAGTGAGAGGTATATCTAAACTAGACTTTACTAAAGATCATCTTTATGATGCATGTCAATTAGGGAAGCAGGTGAAGTCTTCTTTTAAGTCCAATAAGGATCTTTGAACTAGTAAACCATTGGAGATTTTGCATATAGATCTTTTTGGACCAGTTGGAACTATGAGTGTAGGAGGGAATGTATACGGATTTGTGATTATTGATGATTACTCAAGATTTACATGTGTTAGATTTTTATTTTATAAGAGTGAATTATTTGAGGAATTTAAATTTTTCGACTTGGATTCAAAGAAAACTAGGATATAAAATTATTTCTATACAAAGTAATCACGGAGGAAAA